GAGCGTAAGGTAAACAAATGCTGTGCAATGAGTCCGCGAGATCGATAGCCCGAGGTACGAGAGGTGGCGAGCGTCTCCAGGATTTACATATAATCAACGAGGAGTCGACGAGGAGAGTCGACCGAGACTCAAAGGTCACCTTGTTACGAGGTGATGCTTCGCGAGGTGGTCTTTGCCATTTCCCATGAGCATAGCCATAAAGGCGGAGGTCGAGCGACCGATCAACCGAGCAACCGGCCGACCGAGGCGACCAACGCGATAGATCACCGCGATAAGGATATATGCAACGTGTTTTCCTCTCGGCGTGTACGCCGAAGTGCACACCGGAAGTGATCCCACCGCGCGTTTCGACGCGCGAGGCTCGCTCGGTCGTTCCCCGGCAGCCTCCGTTTCTGTCGCCTCTGGTGTCGGTGTCCCCATGTTGTCTATTACCCGGCTTGATATTTGTCGATACGTTCGCGTGGGCGAATCGACCCGAATGCCAGCCTGCTGCCTTTTACTCCGATGCCAAACGCGCGCTGCCTACGTGGGCAGCACGCGCGCGCGCGCGCGGGGTATTATAATAAAGTCTCCTGCGGAATGATAGAAAGGTGCACGTTGCTAATAATAGCCTTTCGCAGGGTCGTCAGGTCGGCAGGTGTGCTCGGCTGCGGTATCTACTGTTCCCCGGCGCGGCGGATCGGTCTTGCCTTGTCTCCGACTTCCCTGTCGAGAGAGTTTCGCGAGCGGCTAGGCGCGTTATTGAACGTCCTTCGAGACGCCTCGAGACATTGCCGAAGACATTCCCGAAGACGTAACGAAGAGAGAAGAGAAAAAAAGAAAAGACTAGAGCCGGAAGATGATCGATGAGACCGGTGGTCGCCTCTTTGATTTGATTTGCGTACTTTTCAACCGCGACAATGAGCGAGCCTTTGTCCTCACGCGGTTGTAAGGAACCGTCGGCGCTCGGCGATATCGAGGTCCTCGAGCGGGAGAAAGCCGATGAAACGGCAGGCGCGACGCAGACAGAAATCGAAACGCAGCGCCCGTTGCGCGCGCACGAGATCGAGCTTTTCTAAATTCTAGCCATAGGCGCTCGCGGAGTTATAAAGCATCTCAATAAAAATAAGAAGAAACCGTTAATGGCCATTTGCAGAACCGCTAGTTGGGTGGTAAATGTCCATCGGCCATAAATTGTCCGTCCCGATCGGTGCTTTATATCGCGAGCGCGAGCGCGGGCGCGGGCGATTGAAACAGAACGACGACGAGCGGCGAGCGAGCTTGACGCATGCAGAACGCACGCAGAACGGAACGGCTTTCCGGAAAATTTATGACGCGTGTCTAATTGTCGGTGCGTTCTCGTGCTCGTATATATCTGGAATCGCGCTCGCTCGCGCGTCTCGTTGCTCGAGTTCTAAACGTAAAACAAGCCGGCGATTAAGCCGCGCTACCGGACACCGTCTAATTGCCCGAATACCACCTCTTCGGTGTCAGTCGCCAGCGTCTGCGTCAAAGACACGTATTCACTTTCCGACGAAGAAGAGGCGACACGCGCGCGATGACGATGTCCTTACGCGAGCTCTTACGCAACGAGGGATACGACAGTCGCCGCTTTCGCAGTCGAGCATCGCGCTCGTCGAATTGCAATTCGGCACGCTGATAACGCGCGGACGGATAAAGAGCGACCTCCGGGACAAGATTCTCACGAGGAGCGCGCCCCAGCCATCCACGCCCCAGAAACCGACGTGTATCGGGTTCCACGATCCCGCTGGCCTCGCTCTCCTCCACGTCCGTCTTCCCGTCGTCGACGGGGCTCCTTGAAAATTGCGCAACCACTACACGGCTCGTTTTCACATTGCGATCCCCGCGCGAATACAATGACGTAGATCATGTTCTTTTTCTAGCAGCGCGCTCGCGGGATAAGATCGCGCGAATGAAACCGAAACTGGCCGCTCCCAGCCGTGAGCATTAGGTAGATAGCATTAGGTAGTGCCACCGTTTGTTCCCAGCCGCGATGGGGAGGTTTCATCGACGAGCGTGTCGGACGAGACGCTAAACGTACCGAGTCGAACCGTCCGGAGATGCGAATTGCGCTGAGCCGACCAGCGAGCGGCACTCTCGCGCGCGGATTTTTTTAAATATCAAGACGTTTGGAGAGATTATTCAGTAAATTAATTATTCAGTAATTACTTATATCTTAATTAAATTATTTTAAATTAATTAGTAATTTAAAATAATTTAATTTTTATTTTTAATATTTGACAAAATCCAAAAATCAAAGTGCCGAGACGGAGGAGGTGATCAGTTCACATGGCGATGCAACGCGACGCTGAAGAAGCGTCGGATAACCCGAACAATGATGTTTTACATTCCGTCAGTGAGATGAACCGAGCCACGAGCGTCTCGCGGATGAGCATTCACACAGCGTGAGAGAACTGTCCGCCTAGGTCTAAGTCGCCGGTAGTCGAAGTCTAAATAAGCAGCTTCATATTGAATGAGCATTGAGCGTGAGAATAATGTTTAAGTTGAAAGTGGAAGCACACACACACACACACGCACACACACGCGATCGTGCTCGTGGCCGGCGTGCGTATTTTGCGTACACAGCACCGCGTGCTTTATGAAACCCGCGTCCGCAGCGGAGGTAGACGTCAGCGGGGCGGACAACGAGACATCTCGTCCTGTCAGCGAGAAGTCAAAAGAACAAGAGCGGCGGAGCGAAGTGCGCGCGAAGGAGGACTCGGCGAGGCGGATTTATATTCGGCCTATTTACGGCGATTGTTTAACGGGAGCTCGCGAACGGGCGTTTTCACGTTAGCTACACGCGTAATTGGAGAGCCGCTCTTTCCTGTCTGCTCCGCGAACAACAAAGGCGGCCGTTGACAGAGACGCAGCAGAGAGCGGGGAAATTGCAGAGTTGCGCTTAGCCGCGCCGTGCAGAAGGCGGGCCCGTGATCGCGGGCACGAACTTTAAATAGAGTTCCTCTGTCGGCTGAAACCTTTAATTACGCGCGCGATCGGCGGAGCAAGTGGCCGCGCGCATTGTCGAGGGTGCGAGAGCCTGTGCCGCGCTGCGTCCGCGATATTACGTTGATTCAGATATTTCCTCACGCGCGCAATCTACGAGAAGCGTGTGTCGCGGTTTTCAGTCCCGTCGAGACCTTTCATTACGAGCGATCGACCGATTTTCGCAGACGCGTCGATGAATCGACGACGGGGTGAGCGTGGATTTTTTCTTCGTAGCTCAAGTGAGAGCAAAGGCACATCGTGCCGCGAGATATCGCGACGCAGGAGACCTTGCTGCTCACGTGGCTCACATTGGCATTGACTCTCCGGTATTGACGTCGGCGAGGATATTATGAATTCGTCGCACGAGCGAAGCGCGGGCCGCGGGAACTTCGAGGTCCTGGGGCCGACTCCTCGGTTTAGAATAATCCATATTCTTTTTGTGGGCGTGAACCAGATGTAGAGGGAGAAAGAGAGAAGAGACCACGCAGTCGCGGTGTCGCCAGGTTACCGTGGAACGTGACTGGAAGGATAAGGGTCCCGATTCTTCCACAACAGCCCGGGCCGACCGCGTGGGCTAATAAATCTGCCGTCTTTCATATTCACCGATCGCGCTCGTTCTTCGACCACGTTCGCGGAAGGAATACGATTCAGCCGTAATTGGAGCGCTTGTATTTTTTTGTTCCTCCCGTGAAATCCGCGATGACGAACGCGGCATAAAACCTGACACGCGGCTTACCGTTCGCGTTACAGTAAATTATAATTCTGCATCGATCTTGCGAATTCCCCCCTCGCCCCCCGTTGAACTCGAAGGACCAATGGAAAATTTCGAGATGCAGCTTTACGTAGGCTGTTGTCTCACCTTGATGTTGCTTGCTCTTGCCCCTCATATTAAGTCGTAAAAAAGATTTTTTCAAAATTGCTCAGTGTCATTATAGTTAAGATTTAGATTATTTAATATCTGGTAATAGTCGGTGTCAGAGCATCACGAGTGAGAATTCAGAGTGCTATAACGGAGCGAAGCGGAACAGTAATTCACAATTGCAATAATTTACAACTATGAATAGCGGTCTTAGAATCCAGTGCGAATTCTCATGAATACTGCTTTTTAAATTTAATAATGTAGTTGCTTGTGTCGCGAGGCATCTTGAATCTACCAACGTCTTCTTTTCGTTTCTGTTTAGCTGTGTCATTGTATCGCATTCATCTAAATCCAAATTTCTATTGATGCATTATTGGAAACAATGCCAGTGAAAAATATAATAACACAGAGATTATAAATAAGGAAAATTTCTTTTCCACTAACACATTGCTGTTTGAGCATTGCTGATTGAGATGAAGAATAAATGAAGGATGAAATACGCAGCTAGAAAATATTGAGATCATCAAACATTGAATGACTCTGCGAATCTTTCGTTGAGACGGAATATGAGAAAAACGGCAGCGAGCAATCATTTCTAACGTCAAAGTAGCACAATAGCTGTACAGCATTATGCCTTGAGCATTCTACGTTGGTCGGTCTGGTTGAATAAAATTTGCAGGGTTAATGTAAAGTCAGAATGTAAAATTCGAACTCGGGCGCACACTCCGAGACGCGTTTTAGCCTTCTACAGGTTTACAGAGGCCTTAAAATTCGAATGTCACGCGGCTGTTACGTCTCGCTGGCGTACCTTGAAAATCAAATGACGTGATCGCGCAAGAAGATAAACGAGAATCGCCTGTTGCGACAACGGCGGGCGATAGATAGGGCGAGTGGAGAATAATAAAATTACGTGAGAGTCGTCGTCGCGCGAGGAGAGACCGCGTCGTTGCTTATTTTACCCTCCCAGGGCGCCAATCGTAAAATCCCGGGACCATAACTGCGACGCGAAATTGGTACCGGGGCATAAAAGCGGGTTACGTAAAGCGGTATCACTCGAGCGTCGCGTCCGATCGACTTCTCGAAAAGTTGCGCCGATTCGCGGCACGTCTACCGCGCGTTGTTCCTAACAGCCGGCCTCTCTTCTGCTTCGCAGGCGATATAGAGGACTGCTTGGTCGCTCCGGTTTCCCAAGGCCAGTTCACGCCGCTGCCAGAAGCTCTGTGCTGGGCCATTCTGGAGCTGACGTCGCAGAGGCAAGCTGCGACCTTGGATACCCTGAGATCAGCCCTGAGGAACGCCTTCCCAGCCATGCAGAGACCCAGCCGCGAGCTCGTTTACGACGCGCTGGCGAAGCTCATGCAAGAACGAAAGATCTATCACACGTCTCAGGGCTACTTTGTCGTAACGCCCGAGACCAAGAGGCTCAGACGCGACTCCGGTAGCTCCAGGCGGTGTTCCAGGGACGTGAATGGGTCCAGGGGTCAGGGCAGCATGCTGATGAGTAACGACGAAGCGGTGGCTCTGGTGCACGGCGAGATGCTCACTCTGAGGGACGGCGATGTTACGCATCAGGCTGTACAGACAAACCTGGCGGACGTTATTTGCGGAGGTAAGAGTCTCGGGCGTATTTGTCTTCTGACGTCAGCGCGCGCGCTCGCGCAACTCGTTCTTTCGCAGCGGACAAAGTTCGCGATCTGTTAACGTTCCCCCCGTGCGCGCGGGGCCCGGCGGAGCGACTTTCGACGAAAATTATGCCCTCGTCGTCGTCCGCGGGTATTTTACACTCAGAGCGCGAAGAGCGCCGCGCTAAGGCGAGCGCGCGAAGATTAATGCAGTCGGGAGAGACGGGGCTATTATTCTCCCGGCGGGATCGTATGTTACGCGCGGACTTCGACGCGGAAGTTGTCGTATCGAGAAACTAATGTCGCGAAAATATCGGCCGCGCACGTCGCGTCGCGCGCGCGCGCGCGCGGACGAGGGTGTCGGGTGACGGCGCGATTAACGCGCTCTCGTCTTCATTCAGCAGCCGCGCGCGCGGTCGTCTGGGTCTTATTAGAGTGTCGCGTTGTCTGTTTGCGGTACCCCACGAGGGAAAGTTCTCACCGTGACCATGTCGCCGGTTGAAGCGGCCGTCGCGCGATATCAATCGCGATCGTTCATTGTAAATTTATAACGCGCCGGTGCCGACGATAAGAGCGAGAACGCGTCTGAAGAACGCAGAAAGAAATGATTCCTCGCGAAATGAAATAAAATCGCGGGAAGAGACCGAAGGACATTTCGGCCGTCGCGCCGTCTGATCGACGGCTGTGAGAAACAGAAACTTATGTATGAAATGTGTATTGAAATTTCGCGCGATTGTCGTCGAACGACGACGAGGCCGGTGACGCGCGCACTCGGGACTAAGCCGGGCTCGCTTTCGCCGTGTCTCGTGATAAGATGCACAGGAAGCCGAGTCGACCCGAGGAGGAACTCGCCCGGCAGACCGGTCGGTCCAGACAAACTCGTCCGGCACGTGTTCGGAAAACGTTTCGATTGTCCGGGAGAAGCTCACTGGCTGCTCACTCGGTTGAGGCCTTTTTCTCCTCTCGACTCGACGGACGGGTCGAGAGAGCGTTTATGTTGTCGTCGTCCTTGGTAGCCACGCAACTCCACCAGCCGCCGGAAGATCGTCAATTCCTCTCGCGAGCGCTTACGAAAAATCAGCGTGCGATCTTAATTTCACTTTTTGCCGCGTTCGCGGAAACCCCGTTCGCGGCTGCGGCGGCGGCGGCGGCGACGACGTTCCACGTTCTTATTCTTGCTCCACATTGCACGCTGACTTCTTACGGGGGGACTACGCGCCCCGAGGAGTCCCGGGGGAGCGCTCGGGGGTCGGCTCCGCGTATGAAATGTCGCAATTTCGATTATACACGTGACGCGAGGCCGCGCGGAGCCACGTGTTGTCGCGTTTTGCCGGCTGACAAAAAGCTCCCGCTCGTCGTCCCCGATGTACCTGCCGATCGAGAACCCGGTGTACCACGACGACGACGCACGCGGAAATTTCTTCGGCGACTCGCGTGCTCTTTTTTACGTCACGTCGAGTGTGTGAATATGCACAGGTGAGTGTGTGTGCATGGACGCGGAGAATAGAGCCGCCGGCATTGGCAAGAAGGCACACGTATGAGAACGAAAGGAGCCGAGGAACAGCGAAAGAGAGAACGAGAGGAAGAGCGCAAGAGAGAGAGAGAAAGAGAGAGAGAGAGAGAGAGAGAGAGAGAGAGAGAGAGAGAGAATAAAAGAGAAGAGAGAGAGAGAAAGAGAGAGAGAGAGAGGAGAAAGATGAAGAGAGAGAATGAAGCCGACGATGCCTGGAAAGCGTTTAGCACAACCGATATATTAGCTATTGGTCACGACATTGTCTACCGTTACATACACCGTCGACATCACGTGGAGAAGGGACCGGGAGGGGGGGAGGAGGACTACGTATATAATCTTCCTACTTTTCTCTTACTCGTTTCTCGACTGATTCTCACGCTGGTAACCCACTCGTCGGTACGTCGCTGTATCGCCCGTGGCTATGTACCAAGATGAAACTCAGGAATGAGGGTATTCCACTTGTTTTTTTCCCTTTTTCTTTCCCCCCCTCCCACCTTTTTTATTCGTCAAGAACGCAGTTGCGGCGATCCGCCACGCTGCTCGGCCACGTCGCGATATTAAACCTCTTAACCGCGTCGTCCTGAAATTCACACGTGCGTCTCCGCGCCGATTTCGGTCTCACCCGCCGGCGCGTCTCTAATGCGACAACCTCGATTTTTCTAACAGCCTTTCCTGCCACGCGCGACTTACGCGATACCTCGGCAAGTGTGTGCTACCAAGTATGCAAATACTTTACCAGTATCGCGAATTTTAAAAAATCTTCAAACTTGTCGTCGGGCATGTGGAAACTTTCTCAGCGAAGTAGTAGTCGCGGTGACTCTTTCGCGACAATTCGTCGAGCGCTCACTTACACCTGCCCGATTGTGCGTGAAAAATTTAACTGTCTTCACTGCGAGGAACAGTGGAACTGATCTCCATCGCTTCTCCTACAGGAAATCCCAACGACAAAGTCCTGTTCGCCAGGTGTCGGTCGATGCCAGGCCGTCTCGAGAGGCGACACTCTCTGCGGCTTTGGGGATCGGCCAGGCGTTTGCACAGAAGCGGAAGTTCGCGGTCTCTGCCACGAAGACCCGAAAGAAGCGACACGTCGTCCAGCGCGGAGTACGCCAGCACGGACAGCGCGCCTCACAGTCCAACTAGTGAGTCTAATCGGGGAAGGGATCGCGTGGTGATGGGTGACCGCTTGTTGGGCGAGGAAAGCGTGGGGGAAATGCTTCTAATTGTATATAGTTATCTCTCTGTAGACCTGATCTTTCGTCCGGAAACTCCGCATCTCCCGAACGCAGAGACGCGTGAGTTGAACTCTTTGATCGTCTCGCTATCGCCTCGCGACTAATGAACGTCTCGATACACGTCGAGATAGCTATGAATGACCGTGCCGTTAAATCAGCGTGTGAATGTTCCTTATGAAATATCACGTGTGTGTACGTACATCTGACCCCGCCGACGACATCCGCCGTTACTCGCACGACGGTGCAATCCAGATCGAAGCTTCTTAGTCACCCCGTAGCTGGCGAGCCTTTCCCCGATCCTCATTATCTTGGAGTGGAAACGTAACACACATCCGAATCCCTTCCTCAAGGCTTTTCTGGGATTTTTTCAGAGAAGATAGGCCTGCTCTCCAGGCTCTTTCGGCGAAGCACACGGAGGAAGGGCGCACCGTTAATGGGCACTTTCAGTGCTCAGTATCCCCCCACCGAATGGTTTAATCCGCGCGTCGTGCATTTGCATAGCGTTGCCACGCAAACAAGGGCCGCCAGTCCTTCGGTAAGTTGCGCACAGCTATTTGCCAATAAGAACTAATAAAAGGCACTTCTTACATGGCGCTTGTAGCGCCGCGAGGCTAATTAACCGGTTCCCCCTGATAATTGATAAAAAGAACCCTCCGAGACGACAACATTCTCAGCCGTTAATAATAATGTTAAACTTGGTGGAAATATCGTATAACGCGAAGAAGAGAAGGAGAGAGAGAGAGAGAGAGAGAGAGAGAGAGAGAACAGACGACTCTTGTAAATACGATTTCAAACGATTTAGCCAGGATGAAATGGCCAGAGTATCGACTAATCGAACAGCGAGCTCAGATCGATCGAGTCTTTTCCTTCTTTCTTCATTTCAGATGATGGAGGGTTTAGACCAGTCGCAGGCCAGTTTCCAAGTGTGGGACGACTCGAGTTCCATGCGATCGGCCACTTTGCCGAGGCGACATCGGCGTCAAGCCAGCGGTGATTCCTCGAGCTTGTTGGCCAACTCGACGCCAAGGAGCTCCCGAAGGCATCGGTCGCCGTGTTCTACCCTGCCGAGGTCCAAGTGCTCCAGCCTGAGCAGATGTACATCCAGAGCCTCCGTTCTGCCGCCCAGCACCACCAACCAGGAGACGTACCAAGCGCGTAATCAAGTGCAAAACGACAAGAACTCGACAAACTCATCGCCCAGCAGAAGCGGCGGCAGCTCTGGCTCGGTTAGAACGATGAACGCGAGCCCGGGCAAGGCGACGACGTTAGGCAGACCCAACACGAGGCAGTCCAACTCCAGAAGGCCGAGTCACGACTTCAGCAACAGCGGCGCAAAGTCGGCCAACGGCTCTCCGCAACATAAAGTGGGTTTAAGTTAAACTTTCTTAACAACGCAAACGCGTCTTATCGCGCGATTATCTTGCGTTCAGTTCTCTCAATTTATCTTCGCTCAGATTCCTTCTTCCTTTTTCTCTTGACTTATTTTTTCCATGTATGATCGCCCTATGTTTCTGTGTTATGTCGCGTTATTATAATTCTATTGTTCGCGCAATGTCGTTGAAAAGTCGTCGCAGTATTCGCGATTACTCATCGCCAATTCACGCAAATCAGTTTGCAAACGCATGTAGTTTTTCAGTTACACTTCAATATGTGATGCATGTATGTGACGGCTTTTATGGACGTTCATCTCTTCACCCGCGCTTTCAAAAAATTAGTGGGCCATTGATTTCGCCGGTCTGAGTTGCTTACCTCTGTCAAGTTCCTTAATCATCGACTGATGTTGTTTTTTCAACGATCGGAAAGCTGTACGTTTAGATAACTTTCCTAATATGATATAATTAAGAATTCACTTGAGATGCTATGTGCGTGTCGAGAACGTGTCTTTGTAGCACGAAAGACATAGTAGAGATGTCATTTTGTCTCTTCTCACACAATATATATATGAAAAAAAAATCTTTCTTTTTATGGACAAAATGTCTTTAGCGTAAATTTTTGTTCGAGAAAAATTCGCAAATATTTTTGCAAATGTTTTGTTAAAGGAAATCTCAATGTCGATAATTTTAAATTTTTAATATTTCAAATTTCCTCGCTATATTTCGAAGCATCAATTTCGAAGCAATAAAAATTGGCAGTCTTCATTTTCTGCTATTTCCGTTGTTTTTTTTTTTTTCGAATTAAATCACCTTTATCGTTCCAAGGTATTACAAAAGACCTCATCGGGTCACTCGTCGCACTCCAGTGGCAAGTCCGTGTCCAGCAGCAAGTTGACTTGCTCGCCGCTGAAAACGGCCACGCTGTCGACAAAGTCGTCGCCGCTCAAAGTCGTTCAGCAAGGTTCGCTGACTCCTCTGCAAGAAGCGCAAAACTCGATAACCCTGCAGGTGTCCACGAATTTAAGTCCGGTGAGCCCGTCGCAGGAGCAACGTGCGATACAGAACAGCGTGACGCTGGCTTCTAACACGACCAGCACCACGACAATTTCCGGCTCGCCCGGTACAAAGATCTACGTTCAGCAAAACAATTCGCCGATGAGATCCGTGATTACTTTCGAGAACGGCACGGTGAAGACGAAAATCGCGGAGAAGGAAGTAATCGACTGCAAGGAGAAGCAGGAGAGGGAGATGGGCGAGAAGACTTACAAGACCCGAGTGGACGACGAGAAGCTCTTCAAGTCCAAGTTGGACGAGGAGAAGCTGAACAAACCGATCAAGGCTGAACGGCCGTCGTCGCTTTACACCCCGAAAGAGCCGAAAGCAGGTCTGTTGCTGTCCGAGTCCGACAAGGAGAATAAGCCGAAGGTCGAAGAGGAAGTGCCTAACAAGCTGAAACTGACAAACCGTCTGAACAATAGCCAGGCTCACCTAATCGACGGCTCCACCAACAATGTCGACAAGAACGCGCTGGTACACGAGCACTCGGCCGCCGCGCTGTCCACCACGAAGAACACCAACGACGCGATGAATAACTCCCGCAAACTCAGCCTATCGCTGTCCAAGGACGCGTTGAGCTACCGCAATCTACTGCATCCCGGCTCGAAGAACAACATCGCGTCGAATCCGCCGTCGCCCACCAAGTCTTACGACGGCTTCGGCGGCTCCTTCAACGACGTCTACATCGAGAATCTGGAGACGGCGAAACAGCAGCGAGCACCGCAGGGCTCCGAGCCCAATCTGGAAAAGACCGTGAGCCGAGCCGACCTGCACTCCTACCCGAGCCTCAGCGACATGCAGGTGCAATTCACCAGCTTGGCAGCGCAGAAGATCCTCAAAGGCTGCCCGATCAACAGCGTCGACACCTTGGTGGAGGTGAATATGGCGGCCGCCGACAAGCCGAACAACTGCGACGTCACGGTTCACACGGACTTTGGCCTCGTTTAAGTCGTATCCTCGCAAATGCATTCCGTCGATCGTGCACCATCCGTCGGAGGCTCGCAAGGACCTCTCGCAACTTTTTCCCGCCCCCCGGGCATATTGCGTCCATGGAAAACAATGTGCCTCGAGGCGAACACTATCGAGTAAACGTCGCTAATGCCTTGCTTCTCATACGTCAAGATCGGGAAATAGGGAGCTATTTTTCTGTCTTCCTTTCTTTCCCCCCTCTCTCTCTCTCTCTCTCTCTCTCTCTTTCTCTCTCTTTCTTTCTCTCTTTCTCTCTTTCTCCCTTCAGTGGGAAAGGCCACGGCTTGCGTAAGAATGCTAAACGGAACACGCAGTTAACAGTTACCAGTGACCTGTCGCCTATGTACATCTCTTCCCTGCGTCTTTAACGAGCGTACGTGTTCCTGAACAGTCGCTGTGCCGATCCCGTTTGTGTCATTGGGACGAATACGTTCGAATAAGGACGATCACGTATGTGAAAGACAGCAACCATGCGGCCTAAGTTTAAACTTGCTTGCCTTACCGAAATTGCCTTATTGAAATATCTCTCTCTCTCTCTGTCCGGAAAAGGAGAAAAGAAATGAGAAAAAGATCCTATCACGAGATATTTTGTATATTCCAAATTCTCCACTCGACTCTCTGTAACGCAATCAACTACTCGGCTAACCAACCAACTACTCGAATAATATGGAATAGACACACGATCTCATTCCGTTCAGACGATCTATGCTCCGAAGTGCACTGAAATGATCAGGGAAGTAAAAGTATGTTTCAGTTAATTGTGAAGGCAAGCGGTTGATGCCGTCCTGCATTTTGTGACTTGAAAAATAATCGTAAAGATAAATTCGTAAGATCGCGCCCTGCCGGCAACCCCTTTGCGATTTCGAGGTCCGCGAGGCGATATGAAGTTTGTCGTCGTTTGTCGGTTTGCAAATTTTCTGTTCGGAACATTTCACGCGAATCCAAGGGTCGCGGTGTTCTCGTAGTTGCAATGTCGACGGTTTTGCATCGCTTTACCGAGCTAAAGCGATTTGTCAAAACATCACCTCGCGTGCAACGCTATGCGCGACCACATGGATGACGAAAGAGAAAGCACGGGGTGAAAATTTTGCCGAATTGAAGTACTGCCATTTTACGCGCGCACAATCGTCGTTCGAGACATTTTCTTTAATCATTCCTTTTTACCTGTGCATCATCGCGGTGATGTTAACGCCGATTTTCAGGTTTTCGTAGCAAAGTAAGGTCAAGTAGTACAGTGAAATTTTGTAGCGAGACACATGTAGAGGTTCTTATGAAACGACAGCGATAATTCCTCGAACAATAACGTCACAATAAAGCGGGGGAACAATGCCTTTCAATGACCACGCATTATTAGTCTCGTAACAGGGTAAGCTCTGAAGGCACACGATTTACCGATTCTTTCTTTTGGTTCGCGAATTTAAAACGGTTGCTTTGCATGATCTGATCGCTTTACTTTCGAGAAAAAAGAAAAGATGGGAAGAGAAGAATCGGTGGGTCGCGTGTCAAAGCTTCGCCTTGTGTAAGCACACAAGCATAATAACGACATAATAAATTAATTACCGTCCCCGAGAAAATCGTAACATAGCGAGGAAAAAATCGAGGATGATCTGCGCTGTACAGCTGCAGAGATTTGATATCAAATATATATATACATAATATACATATAGCGTAGAAGGGCGTTTACTTGGAACGCGCAGCCGGTACCATTCGCAATTAGTGCAATCGTAAATCTAAGTGCCAAAACTATCGTAGTTTACTTAAACGACCGCCTTAACAATTCCGTTTCGCACGGCGATTTCGTAATGCCGAGACACAAACGCGTGTCTTTCTGCGCCGAAAGAAAGTAACGCCGAGCGTTAAATCGTGAAGCCGTAGTCTTAAAAACCGACATATTAGGCAATTAGGCAAGTACGACGGAAAGGAAGAAGTAAGGAAGACGCGTCCGCTTTGTACATTTCATACTCTGTATCGCAGATTAACCGATCGGTGATGGTTCACAACCATTGTTCACCCTATCTCGAGATAGGAGACGCCGACTTTCTGAATTATGTCATGAACTTTCTCTCAAGTCACTTATGGATATTTATCATTATGATTTTTCAATTTCTCATAAGAAAAAAGACGGTTGAAGAAACAAGTGGATAAAGGAAGTATGTTGTATTTATTGGGCAAATTTATTTCTTTTGCAATAAATAAGGTGTTATGTACTTTCCAGATAATTCACTATATTTGTAAGAAGAAAAGTTACATACTGGAAAAAATAAACATGATATATGTTTAGAAAAAGAGAGCTCTATTTGAATATTATATCTTTTTTAACATTTAATTTTTCTGACGCATTCAGGATTTATTATCTTTATCCACTTGTACTTTTATTTCTAAATGTATTCTGCAGTTTGTCAATTTTTATATAATAATTGTTAGTGCAGTCTACAGTCTATTGTAATATTAATATAATTTGTAAATTATTTTATTAGAACTGTTATTTGTAATAGTTTATCATAATACTGTTATAATTCGTGAATTATTATAATCATTATACGTAATAATTTATTATGATATATAGACTATAGAAATTCATTTGCTATTGATTTCAGTGTGAATGCAAAACATTTAAAATTAAAATATTCTCAGAAATTAAAAATCCATTGTCAATGGACGATTTAAGAGAAATATAACTAAATAATTTCTAAGGCAAAACACCTGACATTATTGTCATTTGAATGAAGAAAATCGTAAATTGACATTTCTGTGAGTAGCAAAATTCTATCTTTTCTTTCAGAAAAATCGGCGTCTGTGAACGAGAAAGTGTGTGAATTCATTGCCTCTTATCTTTATCAAAACTAACTTGTAGAGTATCATTGTATAATCTTACTTTCGAATCATTATAACAACGAAAATATATTAACAATAATAAAAAAATAGATAAAAAACTTACCTTCGATTATTTTGCGATGCAGACTTTCCGCCATGATGTGCAAGACGTTTTGTCGATTATGGCTGCCTTCGAGCAGTTTCGAAACCTTCTGGAAAGAAGATTCGATGTTTTTATCTTCTACATCTCCATATCGCTTCATTTGCTCGTCAAGCTCTAAATTGGAAGATACATGTTTTAGATTTGAAAGAAATTGCTTTTATTCGCAAATATAGATGTCCCAAATTACCTATTACTGCTTTCGAATGTGAATTGATGGAATTTGGACGAGCGATTTCGGAACCTTCTAGAAGATCCGGCATCCGTATCTCTCACATCTCCAAATTGCTTCATTTACTCGTCAAGCTCTAAATTGGAAGATACATGTCTTAGATTATGAAGGAAAATGCTTTTATTCGCGGATAAAGATGTCTCAAATTACCTATTACTGCTTTCGAATTGATGAAATTTAGACGAACGGATTGCAACTCTGTCTTCCCGTTACTTGCATAGAATTAGTAATGGCCGCGATAATGAAATATGTGGTAAGAACAAAGAGAGGAGATTCAAATCCAATTCAAATTCGAGGGAACCAATGAAATTACAACAAGACCATCAACCTTGAATAAGTAATACCAGAGAGGAAGCTGAGAGCAGCCAACACGGCGTTTTCGGCGACACCGATTTTTCGCACTGGAAATGGGCGCCATCTGCATCCATTTTGAGAGGAGAACTACAATGTTACATCCACTTTTAGGTCTTGGTGGTAAAATCTGCATGTGGTGGAAGTCCGTGCTACATTCACTTTCAGGCGGTTTATGTCCGTGCTGCAACCATAGTTACTATCTCTATGCCAGATAATAGTTCGTTTTGTCTGCACTGCTGAACTGATGTTAAATGTTATTTATTATCATTGAATATTAGATGAAAAGTAGAAGAGTTATTGTCCGCAGCGGATAATCTAACATTTAATAAGAACGAGACAAAATTCGCATGAGATGAAATTCCACTCTTTAACGCTACCATGACCTTTAATTATTCTCCGAAAACGGCGTTACAACAACTTTGATATTCTGTATAATTAGTTGCTAACATATTTTTTAATCGTACACATTCCTCTTTAATTAACATAAAGCTAACAAATATCCGATGCTTCGACAGAATAATTTTCTTTATTTTCAGTAATCAATAAGTAGTAAATCAATGTCGCGTACAGTTGAAAGGCCTCCTCGCATTCCCCTCGTTGTCCCGGAAACTTCGAGAAAAGAAAAAATGCCCAAGGGCAAGTCTCTCTTGCTTCAACCGCCGCAATGTTTACATCGCGCCGATTGTGTTGATCGGCTCGCGAGCGACGACACTTTTTGCCCTTCGTTTTGACGTTTGACGAATTTTCCGGGAATAAGAAGTCGGAATTTTGCGCTCGGCATTAACGATCCGTCATCATCCGACTATCATCGAGTAATCATAGGCACTTTATGAATCTGCAATTACTCTCGTCAATCTCTGTCTTTCTATCTATTTATTGCGTTGTTGTATATGTTACGGTTAAAGTGATAAATCCAGTTACTATGCATAATAACCGGTTATTATGTATAATAACCAACAGCTTTGGTTAATTTGATCAATTATTCATATTTTTGTAATTAACCGTTTTTATAAATACACCGTATATATAGAGACAGAATTTACAAGTACATTTTATTATAATAAAAATGCTGTCGTATATGTATTAAACAAGTTTTAGTTCGATATAGTTTTTGGTGCAGCTGCGCCAAGATTCTTTGTATTAAATATTTTTTATTGCATTGTTATAATAATTAATTTGTTACAATAACAAGTAACATAACCAGTGTTCTATAACTCAGTGTTCTAATAAATAATGATAAATTTTACTTGTAAAAATTTATGTTATGGACATTTTTTGTAGCTAGGTTTTCTTGAATATTTTGAATAACATAACCTTTGAAAAGATATTTCTTTTAAATATTGGACACTATTAACAAACGTGTTAAATTTTTATAACACGATATAATTTTTACTTTTAAAAGTTTATGTACATATATTATAAAAACTTATATTATGTACATAATATATATCTTGAAAAAGAAAATAGTTTGAATTTGAGATTTCTAAAAATATTAAGTTAAGTATACAATAATCATATATATATATGTTAGGTTTCTCAGTTGGCGCTACTGTTCTAATATATCATATATTCTAATATATCTTCTTTTGTACAGTAGAAAAGTGTTGCAGAGTTTTATTATAGTTATAAGTTTTACTTGTAAAAACTTATGTACACATATATACAATAAAAATAATTATTTGAGTTTGATACTTCTAAAAATAACACAATACGTATTGCGCTTGTACTTGGCGCCCTTTTTTTACCTTTTTGCTTAAAAAGGTAAGTTTTATATAATATTAAATATATGTACGTTTCACGTATAACGTGATTGACTTGGAGTATTCCGTGCCCACGGTGTTATTAATAAACGACGCATTCATACTTTCCTTGATCTGTTACATCGGATTCGATAATCTGCAAGGCACCTGAAACATAAAATGTGATATTCTCGAACAGCGTCCTCTCAGGATTTACTTGTCCAAAGAAAGATCAATGATGCGATCGCAGATCTCGTGTATGTCATGTCAATAGAGGCAGTTTGAATGCGGCGTAATATGATTCTTGGAACAGACGTAAATAAGTATTGTGAAGTTTGAAGCGAGTCTCTCACAGGCATGCTTTGAAAACACGAGTTGTTTTCATTTTCAGCTAACGGACGACGCAGGCATCAACACTAATCGGCAAGGTCAGCGACTGGTGGGGGGGGGTAACCGTGCCTACCCGAATGTTTGTTTTCGTACGCTTATGTATGACTCCGTGATTGCGGAAAGGACATTGCGCCTCGGGCCGACGAACGACGCGCATACCGCGACGCAGTACGAATGTCGGTAGTCGTATCGCGGTTAATACGCGTTTCTTTGTCCCCGAATCTTACTTGCGCGAGTGTTAGAGCTAGAGTCAGTGTCGTCGCCAGTGCTACGATGGAGTATCCGGGGGTGCTGCGACGGAGTAACCAGAAGGAGGACGTCGGATCGAGAAGTCAGGATGGAGAGAGGACTTGGAGCGCGCCGAAAGACGTAGCCGAGGACAGCGATACATCATGTATGGTATTCGAGGTATCTCGAGTTATTATTATTACGCATTATTATTTTTCTGATTTTAACGGACCTTACTCGAAGTAAGGACATACCCGAGTCGAAATTAGATCAGCATTCATAGTTTATCATCTGAAAAATGATAAAATAGCTTGAGATTTGATTATTCGTTAACCTAATTTCACGTAACACGAGTTCTACTTTTCTTTTCTCATAAAATATGAATGTGCTTGCTCTTCAAGCAAGGTTGCTGAGGCAAGCTAAGGTTTATGAATACAAATTTTTAATTATGTTCTCAATGAAAAATTGCACACAATTTAGAAAACTATGAATAATGATCTTAGAATCTGATATAAATTTTACAAGTGTTGATTTTTATTCGTCTAATAATGCTCAGATTGCTGTTTTCGTTTAGAATCTGCTAGAATGTCCGTTTCTCATTCTTGTTTATCTTTCTTATTGTACCGAATCTGAATTAAAATCTCTATTAGTGAAACAGCATTATTAGACATAACCGTTGTCTTTGCCTTTGCAGCTTCAGCTCTTTTGAGAGCTACAATTCTCATCATTCTCATTAGAAAAAAGAAAAGAAAAAAAAGAAGAAAAAAGGAAAAAAGAACTTTAAGAATGATGAGAATAAAAAGTGTTTTTCATCTCCCCATTTCCTCTAATTCTTATATGATTATTTAATCCTTATATATTTATCTCACGCGCAGTTCTAACAAAGGCAGTTTTATTTACGTTTTTATCTTTGTTGTCTTTCTTGCGCTGTTAAGCGAATATATAATCAACATCAACAAAAATTGCTCATTTAAATTAAGAATATAAGGATTAAGTACATATACATTATCGAGATAAACGAGTATTAAATAACTGCGGAATACGTCGCTGTTGAAGACTCATCATGGGCGAGACTGCGAGAGTAGCCAGATGTAACGTTCAGGTAGGACAAAGCTTGTTCACTATTGCGCATCTAGATATTCTGCATTGATTTTTCAAATTGGATGCAATTTGCAGGATCAATGTAGAATTAATATTTCGACTCGGAAAAGACTTTTTTTTTTTTTATCAAATCTGAAAAATGAGAACCAATTGTCATTGCACTTGGACAATCTTCTGACACTAATTTCTGGTATTGATCGATATTCAATTTTCGGTACTGATTTACTCTTTCTTTTCTCTACAAGAAAAAAAATTGATACGACTCGTTCATTTATCCGCGTTAATTTGATGAATAAATTAAATATTGATCGGTCTTCAATTTTCGGTACTGATTTATTCTCTCATTTCTTTATAAGACAAGAAAAATTGATACGAATCATTCGTTTATTCGAGTTAATTTGTTGAGTAAATTAGAGGGATAAATACCTGAAAAATGAGAACAAATTGTCATTGTACTTGGACAATTTTCTGACACTGATTTACGGTATTATTCGATTTTCGGTACTGATTTACTCTTTCATTTCTCTATAAGAAAAAAAATCCATACATTCAACTTTCGGTACTGACTGATTCTTTAATTTCTTTATAACAGAATAAAAATTGAATACAATTCTTTCATTCGACTTAATTCGTTGAGTAAATTAGTGGGATAAGTACCTGCAAGATGAAAACAACTTGTCATTGCACTTGGACAATTTTCTTGACATTGATTTATGGTATTGATCAGTCTTCGGTTTTCGGTACTGACTTACTTTCTCATTTTTTTATAAGACAAAAAAATTGATACGAATCGTCCGTTTATCCGAGTTAATTTGTTGAATAAGATTAGAGGGGTAAGTACTTGAAAAATAAGAACAAATTGTCATTGCACGTGGGCAATTTTTTAACACTGATTTATGGTATTAATCGATATTCGGTTTTCGGTACTGATTTACTCTTTCATTTCTCTATAAGAAAAAAAATTCTTACGAATCGTTCATTTATCCGCGTTAATTTGATGAATAAGTTAAATATTGATCGGGCTTCAATTTTCGGTACTGACTGATTCTCTAATTTCTTTATAAGAGAATAAAAATTGATACGAATCGTTCTTTTATCCGACTTAATTTGTTGAATAAATTAGTGGGGTAAGTACCTGCAAGATGAAAACAACTTGTCATTGCACTTAGACAGTTTTCTAACGCTGATTTATAGTATTCGGTTTTCGATACTGATTTGGTCTTTGATTTCTCTATAAAAGAAAAAGAGATTGATACAAATTGTTTATTTATCCGCGTTAATTTGATGAAAAAATTAAATATTGAACGGTCTTCGATTTTCGGTACTGATTTATTTTTTCATTGTTTTATAAGACAAAAAAATTGATACGAATCGTTCGTTTATCCGAGTTAATTTGTTCAGTAAATTAGAGGGGTAAGTACCTGAAAAATGAGAACAAATTGTCATTGCACTTGGACAATTTTCTAACACTGATTTATGGTATCAATCGATATTCGGTTTTCGGTACTGACTTACTTTCTCATTTTTTTAAAAGACAAAAAAGTTGATACGAATCGTTCGTTTATCTGAGTTAATTTGTTGAATAAGATTAGAGGGGTAAGTACCTGAAAAATGAGAACAAATTGTCATTGCACTTGGACAATTTTCTGACACTGATTTATAGTATTAATCGATATTCGATTTTCGGTACTGATTTACTCTTTCATTTTTCTATAAGAAAAAAAAATTCATACGAATCGTTCATTTATCCGCGTTATTTTGATGAATAAATTAAATATTGATCGGTCCTCAATTTTCGATACTGATTTATTCTCTCATTTCTTTATAAGACAAGAAAAATTGATACGAATCATTCGTTTATTCGAGTTAATTTGTTGAGTAAATTAGAGGGATAAATACCTGTGAAAGACTTCTGTGAATGAGTGAAAAATGAAAAATTTTATATGAATTTGTGAAAATCAGAACATTTCACACGACAATTGAGTTGTTCAACATGACAGTTGCGTTCTGGATAATTCTTAATGAATATCAAAGAAATCAAAATGATCAAAATAATAATGTCCGTGTAGTCCGAAGGACATTACGTGACACGCAAAATCTGTTTGATATAATAAATGTTTCAAAAGAAAACGTTTCAAAATATGTATATACAGGTAATATAAACCTTATGCATCGACGAGATACTATAAAGACTGATGGCCTTAAAATACATGGTTTGTGTCACGTATATTATAAATTTTCAGTACTGGCAGTGAATTTCAGAACGCAGCCTATATCATCAACTCCCGCTTTAATTTCCCACTCTCGATAGAGTCTCAACGCATGATCAAGCGCGAGTTATGAAGATTCACTTTCAACGAAGAAAATAGTCGGGGAACGTTCGCAGCCGCGGTGGAATTTAACGTTCGCGTTCGCAAGGGCCTAACATTTTACTTGCGAAGGGACGCCATCGCCCCTCTTTTTACAACGGTGCGGATGTTTAACTTCTTATTCCCTATTTTTCACAACAACGATACTGCGACGATGCCCTAACGAGGCAAGTTCGCCTATAACCAGCGTTCCTGTATCTTGAGCCGTTCAGGAGATATCGAAGGTTAAAGTTTTTAAATTGTACTCTTAATATTTCCGTTTCTACTGAGAATTGACAGTCGAGCTTTATGGTGAGAATAGCGTTGATATAGGACTATATTGTGGCAAAAGCGCGTTCCTTGAGCTGTTTAGGTGATATCGAAGGTTAAAGTTTTTTAAATTGTACTGTTAAAATATCCGCTTCTATGGGGAATTGAGAGTCGAGTTCTGTGGTGAGAATAGAGTTGATATAGGGACTATATTGTGGCAAAGCCGCGTTCCTGTATCTTGAACCGTTTAGGAGACATCGAAGATTACATTTTTTAATTGAACTGTTAATATTTCTGTTTCTACTGGGAATTGAGATTCGAGCTTAATAATGAGAATAGAGTATATATAGGACTATATTGTGGCAAAAGCGCATTCCTGTATCTGGAGCCTTTTAGGAGACATCGCAGGTTACATTTTTAAGTTGTACTGTTAATATCTCCACTTCTACTGGGAATTGAGAGTCGAAATTTATAGTGAGAATAGGGTTGATACAGGACTATATTGTTGCAAAGAAAAAACAGGCCTGTATCTCTAGCCGTTTAGGAGATATCGGAGGCTAAAGTTAATGTATTTTATTTATATCCTTCTTATATCCAAAAGTTATGTTGAATATATTTGCAATATCAAGACAAGATATCTTAATAAGATTCTGCAGATTTCTTTTTATCATGTGCGAACTTATCACAATATAATAACAATTGACATGCAACATTTTATTCGCTTCTGACATCACAATTAAAATTTAATGTCATTTTAATGTTTAAGTTCAGAAACTTAATTCTAATAATCGAACAGGAACTAGGAATTCTAATGAGCTTCGACATTATTTTTATAGTTCATGTTTATTATTCTTGTATTACATATATTGTATTATATGTTTGTAAGAATAACGTTTTTCAAGCATAACGATGCTTACATCTTTTGATTACTGTATATTATTTATAGGAATCTATCTGATATTCGACATTAAACATGGGTTTGTTACCTATACAGGTATTTCCGCTGAACATTTTTTTATGATTTAACTGAATATATTTTGTTTCATAATTAAAAATATGAAAAACATAATATCAAGTGTTATTTTAACATCTAGTTCAGTTTCAATCATAGTGAAAAATGATTAAAAAATATGCAGCAAACATAATGTATCAATAATGTTTCTGACTTCATTAATTTTTTCGCTACGACTTGAGATGAAAAGCACTCGCTATATAATAAAATAGTTACTATTCACGAATGGCTTACACAACGCTTTACCACTTATAAATATACTTTACCACTTATAAATATACACTTATAAATATACTTTACCACTTATAAATATACACTTATAAATATACTTTACCACTTATAAATATACACTTATAAATATATAAGGTAATTTTGATCCGTTTGTCTTTTATTGTTTATAAACTTTTTGTAGTTTATTATAGTACATAAAAACTATTGTTTAGATAATATAATTTATTTGAGTATCCTTATAAATACACACATTTTAATTACGTTTCTTATTATGTAGCACAGTTATATACAAAAAATAATTTAATATTTAATTTTTATACTACAAATTTCGAAGCATGGTATACGAACATGTTGTAAACAAATATCTTATAGGAACATAGATACAAAAAATATATTATTGTGCTTCAATTATTTAATGTTAGTCAAATGTCTCAAATATCTCAATATTGTCTGTGATTTTTTGTTGACAACGAAAATTCAAAAATAAATGTAAAATAAATAATATATAGGGTGTCCTATTTTAATGTCCCACCCCAAATAACTCTTCAGTATTGAAGTTTCAAGGAAAATGATCTGAATAAAAGTTGTAGGGATTTAAGTGAACTACCTTATGACGACCTTGACTTTGATCTTGACCTCTATTTTCAAGGTCATTTGAAGGTCAATTTGCGTTTTTTAAATGGGAACTCTTATTTTTTATTACACTTTTTTTTCTACTAGTTAATTGGAACAACTTTTGTCTAAAACATTTTTTTATTTGTCTAACATGTTTTGAGATATTTGAAGAAAACTTGATAACTTTTTCAATATTTAACTTATGATATCTCACTAACTATTTGTCGAAAGAAAATGTGGTATTAGACTTTCTTGCTTTATTTAGTCTCAAGAATATATTGTTATAATAGCGTTTTGACTTTTGTTAACTTAATGATTTTTGGAAATTTCAAAATCATCAAATTAACAAAAATCAGGGCGCTATAGCAATATATTCTTGAGACTAAATAAAGCAAGAAAGTCTAGTACCACTTTTTCTTCCGACAAATAATTAGCGAGATATCGTAAGTTAAATATTGAAAAAGTTATCAAGTTTTCCTCAAATATCTCAAAACATGTTAGACAAAGAAAAAAATGTTTTAGACAAAAGTTGTTCAAATTAACTAGTAGAAAACTAGTAGAAAAAAACAATGTAATAGAAAATAAGAGTTCCCATTTAAAAACAAGTTCCTTCAACCTTCAAATGACCTTGAAAATAGAGGTCAAGGTCAAAGTCAAGGTCATTATAAGGTAGCTTACTTAAATCCCTACAACTTTAATTCAGATCATTTTCCTTGAAATTTCAATACTGAAGAGTTATTTGAGGTAGGACATTAAAATGGGACACTCTGTATATTGTATGACGATACATATATACAGAGTGCCTCGGACAAAAAGGTTGGAACCCTTAAAAATTTCGAAAGATATAAGTTTTACAGAAAAGTGTTTCAGACAAAAGTTATAGGGCTTAAAATGATATATTTATTGATCTTATCAGTTTGACTTTGAGTAGCGTTTCCAAGGTCAGGTTAAGATCAACTTAATTTTTTTAAACAGAAACCTCATTTTCTATCATACCATCTTTTTCTACTAATTAATTTTAACAACTTTTGTCTAAAATATTTTTTTATTTGCCTAATATTTTTTGAGATACTTAAGGAAAACTCGGTAACTTTTTCAATATTTTACTTACGATATCTCGCTAACTATTTATCGGAAAAAAATAGTACTAGACTTTTTTATTCTATTTCGTCTTAAAAATATGTTGTTAATAATGTCTTACCTTTTGTTAACTTATCGACCTTCGGAAATTTCAAAACCATCAAATTAACAAAAGTCAGGATGCTATTGTAACAATATATTCTTAAGACCAAATAGAGTAAAAAAATCTAGTACTATTTTTTCTCTCGACAAATAGCTAGCGAGATATGGTAAGTTAAATATTGAAAAAGTTACTGAGTTTTCCTTAAATATCTCAAAAAATATTAAGCAAATAAGAAAATGTTTCAGACAAAAGTTATTGAAATTAATTGGTAGAAAAAAATTATATAATAAAAATGGGAGTTTCAATTAAAAAAAATTAAGTTGACCTTGACCTGACTTTGGCAATGCTATTCAAACTGATAATATCAGTAAATACATCGTTTTGAGCCCTATAACTTTTGTCTGAAACATTTTTCTGTAAAACTTGAATCTTTCGAGATTTTTAAGAGTCCCGACCTTTTTAGAGCACCCTATATATGATATTCATAAATAGGTATCCACTTTTCGAAGACGTATTTTCTAGCGAAAGACTAATTAATTGAAGATAAACGTTATTGATATATCATTGTTACATCATCATAATTATTAGTTAATTCATGCAATGATTTATTAAGTTGGTGCAAAAATAATTGCGGTTTTAATCATTTTAAATTCATAAGTTGGCGCCGATTTTTCTCGTTAAGTTATCGTTATCTTTTTCAGAATTCTATCTTGTAGGAATAAACAAACTTGTTTCCCGGTGGGGGAAATATATGCAGGCCAATGGTCTTTATTTTGATTAATAAATATAATTTTTAACTGATATATGCGTTCAATACGTAAAAATTGCAATTATTTTTGCACCAACTTAATATAATATTTTCATCAGTTCGAGACTTATTCTATTACAATCTTGTTTAACGGACAATACTTTCACTGTTACATATTGTCCTATACGCAAAGACTGATTTTTTAAATATTTAATGTGTATCAATCCATTTGTACCAACTCCAATATCTACAAACACGCCAAAGTGTGTAACGTTTCGTATGATACCATTTAATGTAGTACCATTATTCAAATCACCGATATTTCGCATATTGTCATTGAACAATGGATGATTTAATGTCGATCGTATATCTTCATCTTTCTTCATAGTTAGACTTTTAATTATAATTTCTATTGTAGCTTTGTTGGTATCAAACTGTTCAGCCAATTCCGTATATTTTCCATTCGCGTATAAATTTATTTTTTCAATAAATTTAGATGTACCAAAATCATTCAAATTACATTGGCAGTATTTTATAAATTTATTCGCTATTGTATACGATTCTGGGTGGATCCACGTTTGATCTAATAAATTGAAATCATTCTGTGGATTCTTCGATTTCTTCTCTGTCACTATATTTTGATTAATTGATGCTGTTTCTGGCAAAATTCTTATAAATCCTGCGCACTGCTCAAACGTCTTGCTGCCGATACCTTTCACATTTAACAATTGTGCTCTATTTTTGAATGTACCATGTTTAGTTCTCCAATCTATGACATTCACAGCTTTAGAATTTGTAAGACCAGCCACTCTTCGCAGAAGACATTTTGAAGCTGTATTGATATCGACTCCAATAAAACTTACAGCTTCAGTGATAGCCTGTAATCATTAATATTTTAATTTTTATTGGATGTTTGAAAATTAATTTCTAGTTCTAAAATTTATTTGCGCATAATTAATATAAAGAGTTTTTTTATATTATTAGTCGAGTCACATTATAAATGTATCTAAATTATTATAAAAATGTTTTTATTGTATCAAGACACTTAGTATCAAGATCGGTTTCTGTAGGTCTCGAGAATTGTGTGGCATTATTGAGATATAGAAAGATACAATCTCGGACATGCTGAACAAAAATGTTGTTTACCACATATAATATAAAAACTGTGACGCATTTTATACGGATCAGACAAGTAGGCTGTTCAGAACTTGAATTCGAGAATATAGACAAATTAATTATGGGAATCCATTTGTGGTAGACGGACATCGTATGAACCTAAGCCATGAATTCGATTTCGACAATCTCGAAATTTTAGAATACGAATCATATTACAGCAAACGCATGATTTCTGTAATGTTGCATATAAGAAATCAACTGTTGCATATAAGACTATCAACAAGATGTCTGTAAATTTATGTCAGTTCTTGATTGTCTTATACGCAACTAAATGTTGCAGATATTTTGTTGTTATCTGCGTCATATTGTTTCATTCTTAACGCTCTTATTAGGAGGTTGCATTAATTTGTGCCGTTAGGAACAGAGTTCTAGACTTCAGTTCATGTTATTAGATTAGGTTTTAGAGGTTATACATTTCGTCATTTGTAAACAACATTCGGTCAACAAGTTTCTGTATACAGAAAAAGATGATAAAGAGTGAAGTGAATATGGAACGCGATAAAGTGTTTTTCCAACATGTGCTTCTTCATTATTTTGACTTAAAAAAGAAGTACAGCTGAAGCTTATCAATTGCTTCTGGACATTTATGGCAAAGGTACTCTTTCGGAAAGAACGTGTAGAAAGTAGATGCAACGTTTCAAAGAAAGTGATAATAATGGGTGCATTCAGTACTACAACCGCTCACTGAGCGCTAAGTGAGCTTTTACATTTGATTGGTATATACCTTTAGATTTAAAAATATACACCAATCAGATGTAAGGGCTCACTGAGCGCTAAGTGAGCTCTTGCATCTGATTGATGTATATTTTTAAATCTAAAGGAATATACCAATCAAATGTAAAAGCTCATTGAGCGCTCAGTGAGCGGTTGTAGTACTGAATGCACCCATTGAAGTTCAAAACAAAAAAACACTCAAGGTAGCCTAAAAAATTTGACGACGAGGAGATAACTGCGGGAGTTATTGGATGAAAATCTGGCATAGAGAATTGTCAGTAGCCCTCGGAGTTGACAAATCAACCGTTTCGACACAGCTATATGTCCTAGGGAAAATCTACAAAGAAGGAAAATGAATGTCTCATCAATTGTCAGAAAGCTCAAAATTAAATCGCTTAAACATTTGTATTTCTTTGCTTATTAAACATAGGAAGAATTTTTTGTGGCGTATCATGACTGGGGACGAAAAGTGGATGTGCTACGAAAATCTGATACGGAGAAAGCCTTGGATGGACCCCGGTCAACTTTCAACATTGATACCAAAACAGAATATTTACCGAAAGAAGATAATGCTATGCATTTAGTGGAATATGGAAGGCGTAGTGTATCATCAGCTTCTGAATCCCAGTGAAGCGGTTAATGTCATACTTTATCAACGCCAATTGAAATAATTGAACGACGAATTGATGCAAAAAAGCCGTCAGTAGATAGTAATAGGCGGAAAATGATTTTCCAACATGACAACGTTAGACCGTACGTAGCAAGAACGATTAAAGAAACACTTATAGGCCTGGAATAAAAAGTTCTCTTGGACCAACGTATTCTCCCGATCTTGCTCCTTTCGATTTTTACCTGTTCCGTTCTATGCAATATGCCTTGGAAAGACACGCACTTCATCAACCTCTAGAAACTCCGAATATGTGTCGATGATTAGATTGCTTCAAAAAACAGGTCCTTGTTTCGACGAGAGATTCAGCTTTTATCAGAATGATAGCAAAAAGTAGCCGAAAGCAACGGCAATTACTTTAGATTGATGTCTGATTGTAACATATTATGAAAATAATAAATATTCCAAGTACAAAAACGGCACGAATTAATGCAATGCCCAAATAGATGACTTTCTAATGTAAGCATATGACTTTTATTATCTATGTATGTTTATGTTTCTTGCAATGTCAAACATATAAGTATATGCGATATCCGTTGGTGGATCCCACCGAAAATTCAGATATGAAAACATTATTTTGTTGTGTCACGTTCAACTTGAATTAATGAGTCCTATTGTTTTCTGTTCGGTTATAATGTACAATACATTTGGAGATTACAAAAATCTAGCACATGGAGATCATGAAGTGCGACTACATGAGGCATATGCGGCACATTATTATTCCCTTCTAAATGGCAAGATAGGAATCATCTTTATAGATGAATAGCCGTAGGCTGATAGTAGAGTAGAGTAATATGATTCTTGGGACATCTTAGCGATAACAAATATGTAGATTAGAAGATACAAATTGGCCTAAATATTAGCATTTTTTTAAACACTGCTGAGGACCAAATTCAGAGCCGAAACGTTTGGAAGCTTAGCTATTTATAAGTAAAAACATTTTTAAAATAATTTAGACGTTTATAACGTGTGCGGGCTCAAATTGACCATTGTAACATAAAAATTTTATTGTATTATGTAAGAGATTTATAATACTTCTTTTTCAAATTATTAAACAAAATGTAACTCTATTATAATTATTACTTTGACGTAAGTAGTGTTTATCATATAGTTATAATAGAAATTATATTCGAATATATCAAATGTTTTTAATTTAATTTAATTTGTTCTTAATAAGTTCTTATTAAAAAGAATTTGAATGTATCTAAAAATTGTAATATAACTAGACATACTAAATTCTGCTAACATTTTTTGTACAAAACATTTTTTTATAGAACATAAGTTTTTTTTTTAATTTTTAGTTAGTACAACTTTTTAATATTACCACTTTAGTCAGACAAATAAATAAAACAATAAAGTTATAAAACATTAGGCGAGTGCAAAAATGTTGATAAGTTTCTTAAAGATGTCATGATTGATATCTGACTAGATTTATAGTAGCACTTACAAATACATAGATATATAATATACCAAAAATAATAAAAAACAACAGCGATTACCTATTATTAATAAGATGAATAAATCATTTTTTAATAAAACAATTTATAATTTTTCTATCACAAAATTCATCAAAACATTTGTACTCACCTAATATATCTTAAATTTTAAAATTTTTTATGTAAAATTGTCTTTACTTTTTTTTTTAATATTTTTTTTTAATATTTCTCATAATTTATGTTTTTTCTGTCTTTTTTGAAATGTACATTTGGTACCTTCTTTTACTTTCTTTTCTTAAAATAATATTTTTTAATTATTTTAGTTTATAATTCCTTTTTTATTACAATTATTATTTTTGTTGTTATTGTAATATAAGAAGTTCATACTTACTTCGTCTAGAGCATTTATTAATTGCTTTTCAGGAAGATCGTGTTGATACATTCCAACTCCTAAATGTTTCGGATCTATTTTAACCAATTCAGCTAGTGGATCTTGCAGACGCCTTGCTATCGAAATAGCTGATATCAAATTAACATCAATATTTGGAAATTCAGATTTTGCTTCAGGACTACAACTATAAACTGAAGATCCAGCCTCGTTGACAATAATATATTTGACATCTAGAGTGCCGAGCGCTTTTGATTTTATTATTTCTTTGACAAACAATTCGGTTTCCCTACATGCCGTACCGTTTCCTAATGCTAATACTGTGCATTTATACTTATTCATTAATTTTACTAATATATCAACTGAGCGTTCATAAGCTGTTTTGGAATTTGTATGAGGATATATCACATTTGTGTCGAGAAGATCGCCGCATTCCGACACAACAGCAAGTTTACATCCATGACTGAAACCTGGATCTATACCAAGGATAATTTTGCCTCGAACCGGAGGAGCTAGAAGTAATTGCTTAACATTAGCTGCGAAAACTTCTATGGATGCTGTCTCTGCTCTAATTTTCATTTCAGTTTTCACACGGCGTATCACTAGTCGTTTAATCAAATTTTTATAAGCATATTCAACACTTTTGCTAAATAAATCCATATGCAATCTTGTTACGTTTGCTGCAAATGAATAACGTGACAAACAATATTTCTTGAAAGTTTTTTCGAAAGTATCAGGAATAACAATTTTTATAGAGAGAATTTTTCTTGATTCAGCTCGGTTAATAGCTAATATTTGATGTGGCTTAATGTTTCTTTCAATTATTTTAAAATTGAAATACATTTCGTATTTCTGCTTATCCAACATATTTTTTGGCTCGTCTTCTACACTTTCTTTTGTTTTACGTTGAATTGTTTGTATCTCTATGACGGACGTTTTCCGCAAAATAATAACTTTTTCCAAAATTTCCTTATTCTTACTAACAATGTCTGCTATTATATGTATAATACTATCTTCCACTTCCTTCTCATTTCTTAAGCCTTCCTTTTGTTTGTCTACCAAAGACGCCAACAACGGTATCTCTTGCCCTTGTAAAATGGCATTACTAATACTCAGCAGACCTAATTCTCTTGCTTTTTCCGCTAGAGATCGTTTTGCTGTTGGTTTAAATAAGGAATAAATATATTCAAGATCGGCAAGAGATTTTGTAGATGTTATAATAGAATGAATTTCTGGTGACCAACATCCTAATTTGTTGATCGCTTTAATAATTTCCGTGACACGATGTTTAATAATTTTAACTTCGTCGAAACTGTTCTTAAGCTCTCTCAACTTGTCCGGTTCTATATTTCCGGTCATATTTTTCCTGTATCTTGCGATGAAAGGTATTGTATTATCCTCCTTAAAAAGCTTTACTACATTTTCTGCAATATGTCTATCAATATTATTAATCTCACTGATGTAATCAATGTCGGTCCATTCCGTACATTGTGCAAAGCTAGGACTTAATTTTACATTGATATTTATATCTACATCTGTTTTCTGTTTTTGCTGTAACGTTTCCATATTAAAATCTGTAAATGACACTTCTTCTAACTTTCGTTTCTTTTTATTAGGTGTTTCTAAATCTTCTTTGAAGAATTCGACATTTTTACTCCGTGCATTTGTCTTGATCATCTTTTCATCGTTTGCTTTAACTTTCATTTTCATTTTATTTCTTTCCATTATATAGCTTTTATTCGCTATTTTTGAAGATGTCTTATGATGTTTATCATCCAAATCTGATAATCCAATTATTAATTGATTATTTCGCCTCCTTTTCATAGCAGATTTTTCTTGTCTGTAATAAATTGTAAAATAAATTATTTTTCTTACAAATATATAAATAGGTAAAAGTTTTTATTTTCTTCATGCACTACATTATCTAAATTATTCGATCAAAAAATATTTTTTTTATCAAATTGCATTATAATACATATTATAAATGTACATATAATTGTATTAACTAGTAATTATATCACAGTATGTATAGGATGGCAGGTAAAGTGTAATAACTCAAAAACTAAAAATATATATCATATCAAAAAGTTGTTCATGAGAAAGTTTCATGTATACAAAAAGTCGAAGAGTCTTTCTATGTAAACAAAAATTCATATCTGCTTCACCTTGAAAAAGCAAGAGGTAACTTTGCAATTTCGAAAGCAACCTTCTATAAAATGTTACATATTTAAATTTTACGACAAAGCAAGTAAACTTTATCTGGAACATTTCTTTGAAAAATACTTCTATCAAAAGTTATAAATATTTAAACTTTAACATAGAATTCAAACTAAGGTGAAAACCATAAATTGAATAAAAACTTCATAGTTTTTCATATTTTTACATTATAAAATGTTCGAACTATTCACTATACACATTTAAACACTGATTAATTCTTTCTACAGAATTTTGTCTAACTCTAAACAACATTGATGTAGTCACATTAGCGCTTCATATATTCTTCGTTTTATGGGGGCATATACATCTAAGAGCCCGAAAAAAGGATAAATTTCAAGAATTTTTTTCTGGAAAACCATTGGAGTTATAAGATTGGGAGTTTTTTTTTATATGAAAATATACACCTTTAAGAATATTCATGACTTTTTATGGTCAGCAGTTATAAAAAATAATTGAGATACAAGCAAACGAAGAAATAGTGTTCGAAAAATCCGTATCATCGATACCAGATGTAGCTTTCCTAAAACTCAACTGAAACAAAAAAGAGAAATAGAATATTAAAATACACTTACTCCAAAAAAAAGCGGTACACTTAAAATGTGGGAAAAATTTACCAAACTTCAAATAATCATAACTTGATAAATAATAAACAGAAAGATATTTAAAAAATGAAAATAAAGCTTGGAATTTCTAATTAAAGAATCGATTTATTTCAAAGTAGCAAAAAAAACTTACTGAAAATGGCGGATGACAAAGCATCGTAATGCAATCCGATAAAAGGCATGTGATAGTACAAAATCTCCTCTTTAAAATGCTTTCTTAATCGTTTCGATATGACTGATTTTTTCTTCAAATGTGAATAATTCGGCGAAAAATCATTGAAAAGACCAACAGCGACCGCTTTGACAAACTGTTTCTCCAAATAGAGAGACTTCAAATGGATATTCTTGGACCTCTTCCTACTGCTTTTTCAGGAAATAGGTGGTTTTTATTTTTTGGTTTGGCATCAATTTATTGGTAATTGTGGATTGTTTCACATGGGTCGAAGCTTTTCCTGTCAGGAATATGAGAGCTTCTACTGTGGCGGATGTATTCGTGAAACAATTTGTTTCCAGACATGGGGTGCCTCTTGAACTCCATACAGACCACACAGAAATTTTGAATCTCGGTTGTTCCAGGAAGTTTCGAGGTTGTTAGGAATTAAAAAGACACGTATTTCTGCATTGCATCCGCAATCTGACGGTCAAGTGGAGCGGCAGCATTTCACTATTGTAAATTATTTATCAAAATTTATTTCTGAAAATCAGAAAGATTGGGATCGTTTGGATACCGATGTTTTTTCTCGCGTATCGTTCCTCGAAACATGAATCCACTGGAATTTCACCAGCTGAGTTATATTTTGGCCGAGAACTCAAGTTGCCATTAGATTTGTTGCGCGGAATTCCTCCTTCCAGGACAAAGATGTCAAGTGATTATTGCCAACAGCTTCGAAAAAAACTATTGATACCGTTATACTAGATACCGTTCATGAAGTCGCTAGGCAAAATTTATATCAAAAATCTTTATCTGCCAAATTTCGTTATGATCAAAATGCAAGAAAGTGTCATTTTGCCGAGGGAAGTAAAGTTTGGTTTTTCAATCCTCATCGAAGAGTAGGAAAAGCGCCGAAGCTACAGTCGCATTGGGAAGGACCTTTTGAAATTGTCAAGAAATTGAGCGATGTTGTTTATTGTATTCAGAGGTCGAAAAGGCATAGGAAGAAAATGGTTCATTCTGATAGGCTAGCTTCTTTTTGTGAACGAACGATTTGATGTCTGTTGAAAGTCTGAGCCCGATAACAAATGTAGGTTATTTGTTTTTAAGAATAAAGGTTTATTCATTTCTTTGTTTTTTAGTAACATCGTTTTTTATCGCTTTTCCCGGAATCGTTCTCCAACTTGTCAGAGTTTGTCCATCTACAACGGACTAAGAAGACTGCCTTACCCACGGTTTTTGACTGTAGTTTTTCCGTGGGGCATTGGGTGAATGCTGAGGCAGGGACTTGGGGTGTTCTTTAAAAGAACGTTGGGTCCACGGGAATCCCCCCCCCCCGTCTGAAGAGGAACCAAGGAGGAAACGGACGAAGAAGCGGAATAACAAGCGGATCGTTTTAGAAAGGTCCTGGAGACTGATCACCTCCTAGAGGACGAGGATAGAGATGATGTTCTGAAGGCGAAGAGTCAAGATCCTCAGAATCCTTGATTGAGATCAGGAATCCGGTAACCTGTAGCAGCAGCTCAGGGTAGGACAGGAGTCATGAAGATCTCTGGAGTCAAGGAAGAGGATGACCTTGCCTAAGAGAATTGTCGGGACGACAATTTTTCAAAGAGGGGGAGCAATGTTGTGTTCGAGCCACAAGGTTTGTGGCAGCGTCCGTTGTCCATGAGCCTTAGGCATCTGATGCTGATTTTGATAACTGAACGAAGATTGTCTGGACGACAGAAAATCGATAAGAAAACAACAACAGCTGATAGAGAGTTTCCGGCAAGCTGTCATCGTAGACAGACGCAAGAATTGTAGATCAGAGAATTATTCTTGTTTAAAGCTTGAGTGAGCTGTACTGTGAATAGTAAAGCTTCATGTTTGTTACGCGAGTGTTTTCATTTACCTGAGTGCAAGAAAGTGCGAGTGCGAGAGTGAGCGCAAAAGTATATAAAAAGTACCGGGACGGCAAAATATCTCAAAAACTAAGCATTTTAGAGAAAAATGTTTCAAACAAGTTTGAAAGGGGACATAAGATAGCGATAGCATTTTATTTACAGATGGCGCCGCTTTCGAGATATACACTAATCATTACATTCCTTAAATGAAAATCCCAATTTTTTATTGCATCATCTTTTCCTACCAATTAATTTTAACAACTTTTATCTGAAACATTTTTTTATTTGCCTAATATTTTTTGAAATATTTAAGGAAAACTTATTAATTTTTTTCAATATTTAACTTACGATATCTCGTTAACTATTTGTTGGAGGAAAAAATAGTACTAGATTTTGTTACTCTATTTGGTCTCAAGAATATATTGTTACAATAGCGCTCTGACTTTTGTTAATTTGATGATTTTGAAATTTCTAAAAGTCGATAAGTTAACAAAAGGTAAGGCATTATTATAACAATATATTTTTGAGACAAAATAGAGTAAAAAAGTCTAGTACTATTTTCCCTTCCGACAAATAGTTAGTGAGATATCGTAAGTTAAATATTGAAAAAGTTATCATTTTCCTTAAATATCTCACAAAATATTAGGCAAATAAAAAATGTTTCAGACAAAAGTTATTAAAATGAATTGGTAGAAAAAGATATAATAAAAAATGGGGGTTTTCATTTAAAAAAATTAAATTGACCTTGACCTAACCTTGGCAACGCCACTCAAGATCAAATTGATAAGACTAATAAATAGACTCAAGATCAAATTGATAAGACTAATAAATAGACTAAGACTAATAAATAGACTAATAAATAGACTTTTTGAAATCGTACACATTCATATTTAACATTTTTTTCTAAAACGTAACCCCTCTGATATATTTAGGGGTCCCCCCCAGAATATAACCTGTCAAGTGCTGCAGTTTATTCATCACACTGTATATCTAGCTTATTATTATACTAAGCTTTAGTGTAACAACTGCTTCAGATTTAAACACAAGTATGTTACCTTCAATCTGAGAATTATGTCAGTGTTATTTTCAACTTGAGAGTTAATTTGAGCGTTACTCTATGTAGAGTAATGCTCAAATTATCTCTCAAGTCTATGTAAAGTAATGCTCAAATTAACTCTCAAGTTGAAAATAACACTGACATAATTCTCAGGTTAAAGGTAACATACTTGTGTTTAAATCTGAAGCAGTTGTTACACTAAAGCTTAGTATAATAATAAGCTGGATATACAGTTTGATGAATAAACTGCAGCACTTGACAGCACTGACATAATTCTCAGGTTGAAGATATCATTCATATCAACACTCAAGTATAAGGGTTACACTCAAGTTGTGTATTATATTCAGTTGAGTGTTCGAATTTACACTCAAATTGAGTGTCATTTTGAGTATTTTTTCATAAGAGATGTCTTGCAAGTTAAATGTGTTTAAATAAAAACATTTTACAAATCTTTTATAAAACATTTTCGAAGCATATGTAACTTCTTATATTACTAATAATAACCATTATATATATGCTGCTGTGGCAATTATAATAGTAATCTCTAAATTTTTATGAACATTATATATATACAGCTTATAAAACTTTTAAAAAAAATCTTATAATTAAATAGTAAATTGTTCATATAATTTTATCAAATTTGTAAACTTTGTAAATTAGTCAAATTTGTTTGAATTGTTGTATCACATACAATATTTCCTTTTCTTTCATACATACTTTTCTTTACAGAACTATATATTATCTTCCAACATTAGGATCAGATTTCGATAACTACTAGATAATAATTATTATCAAAATCTAATCTTAACTTAAATAGATCTGAAGAGATTAGTAACTTAATAATAATTCCCAATCAGTGATAATATAATAAATGTTAATAATAAACATAACATTTTTTTCTTATATTTAAATAATTTTGAAAACATTCATATATATATATAAATATATGAAAGTATTTCTATCCTGATAACACAATATCTGCAATTTTATTAACATGCTATCAAATCAAATAATTAAATTAAATTATATAAATAGAATAAGGTGATTATCCAATATACAGATAAAATGCGAACATGTTTTAATAGTAAAAGCATAATAGCTAATCTACAGCAAATATAATTCAAGTAACTGTGCCATTATTTTATTTTAAATTATTCATTGGGAATATATTTATTTGATAGTTTTTAGTTATATTTGAATAATGACACAAACGCGCAACTAATGGAGAACAGAAATCTAATTATGATTACATAATTTCAATTTGTCATATACTATTATCTAGATAAATATATCTTTAACATATTTCAAATTAAGTATAAAATACTTTAAAATATAATAAAAACATCCTGTTAGTAACATGTTTCTTGAATTTTATAACATCTCCCATCTATTTTTAATAACATATTATATATTACATCAATATCATTTTTTAAACAATGTAACCTCTATGTAAATATAATAAATATACTGTACTTACATTATTAATTGGATAATTGTAATGTTGATACAATATTACAATTAGTTAACAATTAATAAATACTTCATAAATTATAATAGTAAGTTATAAAATAATTGCAAATAATTATAATAATATATAAATGTTTTACCTGAATATACCAAACGAGATGTAAACACAATCCTTGTATTGTAACGTCCCGGCTAAATTTTTACCACTAAGAATGTATTATTATTGATTGTAGGCTGACTTATATATGATTTCACACGTTATTTTATCCTTGCTTATTCTTATTTTTTCACTTGTTTTTTATTCTTATATTTTAACCGTATACATGAATTCACTCATTCATTCAATAGATGGCTGTGTACTGGAAAAACCTTAGACTAAAACCAACGGCACACGGTGCTTGTTTTCGTGCTGGATTGCTTGCTGGATGAAAATACTGCGTTCTGATTGGTACATTTCCGAAGATGGATGGAAATGCACCAATCAGAACGCAGTATTTTTATCCAGCAAGCAATCCAGCACGAAAACAAGCATCGTGTGCCGCTGGCTTAACGCCAACCCCCAGACCCTATACATGCATACCAGAGAGAAGCCTAATACCCGTATTCATAGTCAGGCCTTATATTTGAGGCTTCCTTATATCCATCTTTAGATGCTACACGGATGATTTTATTGGCTACAAACCATCTGAAGATAAACTTAAGGAACTCTTAAATATAAGGCCTGACTGTGAATACGGGTGTAAGAGCGGTCATTGGGCTGGATTCCAAGAGACGTTTTCTTTGACGTGTTCTCTGAGGAAGTATATATAAACTATGTCCGTCCCGATGGTAACGACAAAGTATGCATGGTTCTCATTCGCTCTACTTTCATAAAAAAAAAAACATAGCAAGCACAGAGGAACTGGAGAGTGGCTACCAAGCCGGTTACATCAGGATGTTTTTTCCGTCGCGCCCCCTGAGAAAATGTATATACACTACGTTTGTCCTGACGATAACGGCAAAGCGTACATACACGGTTTGTTTACTCATTTCCTTACAAGAAATAGTAGGTTAGAAATCCATATAACACAGACAATTGTAGCAATATTGCTACAATGTTGCAACATTGGCTGCGTTCAGCAGAACAAAGTAATCAGTGAGCGCTTAGTAATTCTCGCTCCTGATTGGTAAATACTTCTGGGTCTATGAAGAATAAAAGAATGCTCCAATCACAGACAATAATCACTAAGCACTCACTGATCATTTTGTTTTACTGAACGCAGCCATTGTACATCGCAGTGTAATATTGCAGAAACATTGCAAAAACAATATTTTGCATTATTATATCTGCAATGTTGTAGCAACATTTCAAATGGCGATTATTATTAAAAAATTGTACGAAATATCGCTGAATGGAAGAGGACTTTTACGTTCCTCTTGCTTAGTTCTACCAGAGAGAAGAAGGAGAAATGTCATGGGCCGTTTTTAGCCGAGCCATGGGGCCAGAGCACAGACTTCTGCATAACACATAATACATAACACATAAAAGAATAAACCAATTAGTTTTCTTCATTTCCCTCCTCAGGACAGAAATGAAGAACTCTGATTGGTTGATTCTCTTATGCGTTGTGTATTATGCGTCATGCAGAAGTCTATGTTCTGGCCCTATAGACTTATAAAGATAGATTGCGCGTCCAATGAGAGAACTTGAGGAAAACATTAAAGTGAGAGGATCGATAGCTGAGTGAGTGTGTCTCTGTCTAACATGTGTCTTGGTAGGGGAAACCGAAAAGGTGAAGGAGAGTTGGAGAGTTGTACGAGCAGTACTAATGTTATGGTTTGCATGTCAAATTGCTGATTGTTTATTTTTAAATAAAATTTATTATTCTTGTAATATAAATATTCAAAATCTACTTTATTATCAGTTCAATTATATTTATAGAACTATATTATATATATCATATATATCAATATAATTATATTTTATTCATTCTCTGATATCAAAGTTATAAAACACAAAAATATTACTTTGAAAAATGTACTTTCATCGTTAAATATAATTAATAAACAATTTTACATGGAAATACAAATAAAAAACAATTTTTCATTGGCAGGGCTTGAACTGTTACGAATATTATCCGAAAAATAAAATAGGACAGAGAAACACTTCGAAGCATTTGTTACAGTCGCTGGACCGCATACAACGTTATTTTTCCCTTTATATCCTTTTCTCCCCTCTCCTAACACAGAGCGAGAAAGAGAGCCTCACTCACGCAATATCTCTGTCTTCTAATGTTGTCTTCAGCGCGCCCATAAGGAGGCGTAGGCCGGTATTCATAGTCGAGTCTTATATTTAGGATCGTCTTAAGTTCACTTTCAGATACTTCGTAGCCAATGAAGTAATTTGTACAGTATCTGAAGATAAACTTAAGATGATCTTAAATATAAGATCCGACTATGAATACCGGCCGTAGTCTATTTCTATAAGTCTATGGTCGCTTCAGAGAAGAACATGAGAGCGGCCAACATTTTTGTTACTATCGATAAATGTTAGTAACGATCATGGTTTGCATGTACTTTGTTAGAGGGCGTATCAGAAAATACGTCCCCTGTAAAATTTGTATGCTGCATACGGAATAGCCATTCTCAGACGTCTCTCTAGTACAGTGCCAATCAGACTTTAAACTTGTACTTTCTAGAGATATTTTCTGTGGTCATTTCTGTAGTTTCTTCGTTTTAGCTATGACGAAGGACGTGGATGGACGGGCTGCGCTCGACGTTCGAATGAATTTGGGGTAAAGTCGCGCAATTAATTCGACAGGTGCCAAGTTTACGCGCGACTCATAACATTATCATGTGACGTAAAGACATAAAAGTACAGTCGCATCGAGCGTGATGCTGATAGATAACGGGAAAATGCACAACTTTAAAGTGCCATCCACGCCGCCATCTTGAATCAGCTGTCAAGCAGACGATACGCAGGTATGGAGGATACCTGCCGTGATTAATAGTGAGGTCTTAACGTCTGATTCTAATCCTGTCGATAATCAAAGCGACGAGACGATGGTTAACATTTATTTCTTTATATTGCAAATATTTTTGTTTATATTCTGTTATTATATACTGCTCTAAACAATCACAAAATCATTTCCTTGAATTCCTTCATATCACTAAATAAATGCTTCAGTGTTCAGTACTTCTCTTAATATCTAATTTTCATCTTTAGTAAACGTATAAAATTTATTAATTATCTACTGCTACATTTAATTGAAGTTGATATAACTGTTCATTCAATATATAATTCTTTGATTGTTTTGATCAGTATATTTTTGAAGATTATAAATATTGTATGACTAATATGCTATAAATATAAAATATTTTATTCAAAACATATTGTTATATAATTTCAGTGTTCATGCTGTATTATCCAGTCTCCACGGGGACATGGAAATATCTAAAGGTGATGTACAAGATATAAGAAATCAGCCTACAGATTTGATCTCAGTATATATTAAACCAGAGAATAATGAGCCTGAGACAGACTTTAATGAAGTGGAAATAGTCACGGCAGCGCAACATTTTTGTGCTATCGAGATCAAAGAGACCAAGAACTGCAGCATAATTGATGACAAAGTAATCAATGAAGATCATTGTATGCGAAATGAAACAACTGAATCCAATACGACAAATTCTACTTTAGGTAATATACAGAGCAGCACCATTACAAATGTACTAACAGACCCCATTTATTTGGGCACATTAGATTCTGATTCCATTAATATCGAATTCCAAAAGCAGTCTAGTACAACGGAGGTATTTATTAGGAATGATGAACAAATACAGACGTCCAATTACAATATCTCTGCAGTGACAATACCCAATGAATTTCTGGATGGACTTAATCTTAACATAAAAAGGGAAGAGGGCGCAGGCCATGGTACATTTTATACCACTGAATGGTTGTGTGATAGCGATAATGAGGCCAGCGTACGATTGCGAGTTTTAAAGGACACTAAACAGAATATACAAATTCCTATTGATATTGACACTGGCATAATCACGATAGCGAAACGTAGGGGCCAATTAACAGACGCTGGAGACATTTTGGAGGAAGAGAAGATTAAGGTATCTAAGAAACCTAAGAAACACGTCAGGCTAAAGTCTGTTGTGCAAGATTACAGAGAGAGGTTGAGGAAAAAGGCTGAGTGCATGAGAGAGAAACGGAGAAAACTATACGAACAAGAGAGTGAGGAGCAACGTTTGCAGAGATTAGCGAAGGAGGCGGCGAAGAGGCGCGAAATGAGAATGTATTACGAAACACCCGAACAACGAAGGAAGAGGCTCGACGCTGAAGCAGCGAGGAAAAGAGAATACAGGATGTACAACGAAACACCGGAGGACAGGAGAAAAAGATTAGATCGCGAAGCTGAAAGAAGAAGAATCAAGAGGTTATCTTTGTATGCAAGCGAAACTCCAGAACAAAGAAGAGAAAGATTGAATAAAGAATCAGCAAAAAGACGAGAAGCTCGATTGAATCAGTATGCTAAGGAAACGGAAGAGGAGAGGAAAGAAAGATTGCGCAGAGATGCTTTGAGAGCTAGAGAAATGAGATTTACGAGATCCGCTATTGAGACAGAAGAGGAACGTAGACAAAGATTAGTAAAGGATGCTCTTAGAAAGAGAGAAGTAAGAACGCATGGGGGCCATTCAGTGAACAACAATTTCACCGAACTACGAACTGTTCGCAATTTCCAAGAATTGAATGATGTGCAAATAAGGGACAATCCTGAAAATCAATTGGATGGCCATTACTTAAGCTGGATGCTTAGGTAATGAAACTAAGTAGACGTCGGACACATTAATGCAATCATTTTACAGTGAAGAACTGCATAATAGTAGGATGCATGCACAGCATAACAGATAACGCAATACATTTCACTTATGAATGTACTTCCCGGACTTTCTTATGTGAATGACGCCGAGTAGCGATCAATTTAAATATGCTTTCATATATGCTTCCTACAGTTTCCGAACGTGGAGTGGCAAAACCATAATAGCTAGATTTACGGCTTTGCTAATATATTATCGATAATATGTATGAGACAACAGCAATAGTGAGTTAAATTTGTTAGGGCTATTTTATAATATTTCTAAACATCGAGCGCAAATAATTATGCTGTTTAGTCGGTGTTGCAGAAAATCAATGTAATTAATATACAAATATGTTAAAATACTGACAACAGACAATTCAAAAAGGATAAAATTGAGAACAATTAGTGTTTGCAGATTCTTTAATGATATGACAAATACTTGAATATTTAAAATTGTTCTTATATACATAACAGATATAGGATACATCTGGAAGTAACATAAAGTTACTTTGATAAGTGTAAATGCGAAAATAAACTTTGCCATACTTTGATGTAATGCAAAAATGGAAGTAGCAGAAAACAAAAGAGAAGCAATTCTTACCAGTGCCTGTTATTTGTCGTTCAACAAGACATTTAGCTGAATCCATTTGTATGGTGCATGTATATATGGTGCGCACGAACGTGTGCATGAATGCATGAGTGAATGAGTAAGTGGGTCAGTGAATGAGTGAATGAAGTGATTGAGTGACATTTAGCATAAATAAATGGTTCTGGTTGCAGAGATTGACTATCTCTTTTTGTATAATTACTATATATTTCTTTCTACAGTTCCTTTATAACAAATAAGATATTAAACAAAATTATGTTATTTTAATATATTGTATATTCCTTACAAATATATATCATTTTTAATTTGTAACAGCTCTGAAGATAAAAAATATATATCAGGTGTCCTCTTTCTCATAAATTAATAAAAAACGTCAAAAATTAATAAAAATCTGTTTAATTTACTGTCGAACTATATTACTTGAGAAATAAAAATTGTTTTAATCTTTTACTGAAATGCACTAAAAGTATACAATATAGATATATAGCCACGTATAATCAAGTCTATTTTTTTTTTTGTAAATATAAAATTGGGGAAGAGACTACTTTGAGAAAGTAGCTCATCCAGTCATTAACCCAGTCAGCACAGACCCCCAAAGAACGTCCCAACGTGCTAAAAACGTCCCTTGAGGATAACCTCAAGATGGCCTTTTAGAAATTTTATGCTGTCTAGAAAGATACAATAATAGAAGTACAAGAAAAGTTTAAAATCAGAGAGAAGTTTGAGGAAGACTACCCTAACATTCTGACCAAGGTCCGTAAATAAAGGAACGGAACAAGATCCTCTTATCCACTTCACACCATGAACCGAGGAATAAAGGCCATTATACAATGGGTCTGTTCTTTATAGCTGCACTACTGAACTACTGCAATAAGTTAAAATGAGACAACTATATTTTTTTCTCATTCTAGCTTATTGCACTCATTCTAGCTTATTGCACTAGTTCAGCAGTGCAGCTATAAAGAACAGACTCAATTGGTCTGTTCTTTGTAGCTGCACTGCGGAACTAGTGCAATGAGTTAGAATGAGACAACTATATTGTTTCTCACTTTAACTTATTGCACCAGTTCAGCAGTGCAGTTAAAAAGAACAGACCAAATGTGAGGCAACAGGCAGAGAGGAACCTGAGAGCGGCCAACACGGCGTTTTCGACGACACCGATTTTTCGCACTGGAAATGAGCACCATCTGCATCTATTTTGAGAGGGGAACTACGATGCTACATTCACTTTTAGGTCTCGGCGGTAAAACCTGCATGTAGTGGCAGTCCGTGCTACATCCATTTTCAGGCGGTTTATGTCCGTGCTACAATCATAATAGCGTACTTGACAAGCACGGTCTCGCACATTGTTATGCGTTTGTAACATGAATTAACATGTTAATATGCGCAAAAAAAATAAGAATTGAGATTGTGTATGATTAATATCATGAAGATTATATACGATTTATATCGATATATAAATATATGATAATAAGATGACATTTTGTACCCAAAATTATTTTCTCAAAATATTTCAGCGTTACGTTAGTATTTATTTATACTCCGACAGGTGTTTTCTAGCGCAATTGTGTCTGTGTACGTATAACGCATTTAAAGTGTACGTGACGTACGTGTGCGTACGGTTGTGGACATAAAGGTTGTCACTTTTTTTTTAATAACTTTCGGGACGCATCCCGATTCGAGAAGGATCAAAGCTGCTGCTCCGCCTGCGGATCACGCCTGCGTAGTGACTCTCAAGGAAAGGCGAGAAATGAAATATACGTGGTATGACATAAGTATGTAAACAATTCTTACATATTGCTTGTAATATCTATCCTTTATTCTTTTCCGCTATAGACAAATATGAAAACAATTTCCAACATAATTATTATGTTTCAACATTAATTATGTTGAATATGTTTCAACATTAATTAACATTAAACAGTCCCAAAAGTAACGGACCACCCTAATAACTCTTCAGTATTAAAGTTTCAAGGAAAATTATCTAAATAAAAGTTGTAAGGATTTAAGTGAGCTATCTTATGATGACCTTGACTTGAGAGCTTTCCGAAACACTATAATGAAGTCATTTTTTATTAAGTTCTTTCCGAGTTATAACGGTTGAAAGTTATGGTACCGCCGGCATTAGCATTACCCAAAGTGTACCGCGCGGAGGTGCGATCAGAGGTACTTCTCGGTCCATATATTCTAAAAACGAGTTGCTCTCGTTCGTATCTCGCTCTTTGTCTCTTTTGTTTCTTTTTCCGATTATAATATCACATCTTTCTCTGAAAAATGTTGACCGGGATAAAAAGAATATTGCTACTTTTTATCGAGGATTTGGTGACCGTATTAGATCATATCAAGAAGTAGCTGATCTATTCAATTACATATGCTGATCTCCTATTTCTAAATCCACCGTTTGCAGAACAGTGACTCGTTTTTTTGAAACGGAAACAGTTAAGGACCGATCTCGCAGCGGAAGGCCAAAATCCGCAACTAATAATGATAAGACTTTGGATGTTCTCCAATCGATTCAGGAAAATCCTCATTTGTCTGTATCAAAAACAGCACAGTCCATGATATTAGTGAAGGCAACGTTTCTAACATTTTAAAAAAGCATAAATATTATCCGTATAAAATTGTTATCACTCAAGAACTTATGAAGATGATTTTGACAGAAGAATTCAGTTTTGTGAAGAACTGAAGCATCGGTGTGATGATAATGCTAACTTTTTGAATTTTATTATTTTTTCTGATGAAGCCACATTTCAAATAAATGGTGCTGTTAATCGCCACAATTGTAGATATTGGAGTGACGAAAATCCACATTGGATGAGTGATCTTCGCACACAATATCCACAAAAATTTAATGTTTGGACAGGGATCTGTAGTCCCAGTATTATAAGCCCATTTTTCATAGATGGTGATTTAAATGCTGAAAAATATGAAAATTTATTGCGAGATCATATCATTCCTGAAATTGAAAATTTATTTGACGTAATTTGACTTGCAAAACGTTTGGTTCCAGCAAGATGGAGCAAGACCTTATTTTGCGTTACGAGTTCGAGAATTTTTAAATAGCTCTTTTTCTAATCCATGGATAGGTAGAAAAGGTGCCATTGAGTGGCCTGCTAGATCACCTGATTTATCTTCTCTTGATTTCTTTTTTTACTTACTAATTTTTAGAACTTACTAACTTTTAGAAATTTCAGAGTCATCAAATTAACAAAAATCAGGGCGCTATTGTAACAATATATTCTTGAGACTAAATAAAGCAAGAAAGTCTAGTACTACTTTTTCTTTTGACAAATAATTAGCGAGATATCGTAAGTTAAATATTGAAAAAGTTATCCTCAAGTTTTCCTCAAATATCTCAAAAAATATTAGACAAATAAAAAAAATGTTTTAGATAAAAGTTGTTCAAATTAACTAGTAGAAAAAAACAGTGTAATAAAAATTAAGGATTCCTATTTAAAAAACGCAAGTTGATCTTCAAATGATCTTGAAAATAGACGTCGTGGTCAAAGTCAAGGTCATCATAAGATAGCTCACTTAAATCCTTACAACTTTTATTTAGATAATTTTCCTTGAAACTTTAATACTGAAGAGTTATTAGGGTGATCCGTTACTTTTGGGACACCCTGTATATATATATAAAAGTCTATACTGTATATGATTTTATTAGTATAATAATATTTTCAGTGACATCATTCATAGATCATTAACTGTGGATGACGAAAACATGATGTTATTTCTTTGTGAGCAGTGACAATTTCTATTCACGCATCCTCTTTTATTTCCGTATTCTTACAGTTTTATATAGTTTTATCATAAAGCTATGGACGAAAATGAACTATGTCAATTAATAATTCATCGTCATATTTTATATATTTATTCAGTGAGTTTTCATCGAATGCATCCAGTTCGTTGTCTAAACACTTTTCCTCTTCTTTGTCTTTGATACGTATCGAATGATCACAATGATCTAATATATTGTTGTAAATAGAGTTCTATTTATACAACATGTACAAACATGCGTCACTAATTCGTAAATTTAACAACAATCCAGACGCTATGATTAGTTAGCAATAGGCAATAGGAATAGAATTTCCAATGTGACGGAAATTCTGTATCTTTTGTCTGTGTCATGGTTTATTCTGCATTGATATACGCTTTCTGGAATTTCTTGTTTTTATTTTTTATTTCTATTTTCTGTTCCTATGCCTGTTGCCTGGCATTGTGCGAGGACCTTTAGTTTTGTAGGATCGTAACACGAACTACAAACCGCGGTAATAGAATGCCGCATAAAGTAACGACCAATTTAAGCCGTTTCTTCTCAGAAGAAGTTTCTGTAATTGTTGCCATATCGCGCGCAGTATTACGATACGCTTCATTATCGCTA